CGAAACCAAAAAAAATAAATATTTTACATTGAAATCTTTTGTGAGCCTTCTTATTGTATGGATGAATAATTTAAGTGGGTAAGACCATCATAAAATAAAAATTATTGTTTTTTTGTCATCCTAATACATATATTATGTATATTATATCCTATCTTGATATGAAAATTGATACGTTTATTTACATATGCTAATAATTGTTATATAAAGTATGCTATTACTATTGAACGAAAATCTACTATTTTTTCCTTAGCAGAATACAAAACACAAACTAACCTGCATTCATTGAATCATCCCATTGCATAGGACTCCTCGCAGCATCTCTATTCTTTCCTAATATTCCAAAGTTTTTATATAGTTTCAAAGTATATTCATCTTTAATTTGGTCCGGTCTTATATACACATTATCCATGCCTATTTCACTTCCATAATATGTCACGTCAACACCAGGAAGAGCCAATTTTAAAACTGTAAATATCTGTACGAATTCGGCACCGTATAAAAACGATATTCTACTACGGTCGTGATTTTCTATCTATATTTAGAGTTAAATATGTTTGAAATTAGATGAACATATGATACATCGAAATCCTTCTGTGTACCAAGTACAATACTGAATTATACGTTTTGTGATAATTTGTAATTCTTACCACCCAATTCGGCACCATGTTTTCCGGTATATTTTCAATCCATTCTTCAATACCTTGTTCTGTTTTTTCTAATAAATTGTTTCTATCCATTTCTACAAATTGAAAATTCAATGGAATTTGTGCTCCAGGATTAGTGATATTGCCATAGTATTGCATCAATGTATTTATTGACGTATATGATTCAGTAACTATCAACCTTTAAAATTAATACGTATTTAATTTGTTATAAATTAATTTAATTACCTTGTGAATGGAAAATTGTTTATAAACATAATGGATAACATTGAATTGACTCCATGCTAATTGTACTCATTTTTTTTCATAAGTATTGCTACATTTACTTTTAGATACTGATTGGAGCGAGTTATATAATAGTTTTACAATGATGTTTATTTGTTTTTTATTTTTTATTATGTAAACACTTTTTTTACCAGATAGAATTCTCTCAGATATCGAGTATAGCACCTTTTCAGAAAGCAAATATTCACAAGGTGGTACCCTAGAGACATTATTTTATGTATATTTCACTATCAGCTGAATTCTGCTCAGAATCGTTCTTTTCGTTAGCAATGAGTTATCATTGCTTACAGATATTCATTAAATTTCCTTAAGTCCCCTACCTTCTAAACTTCCTATCTACAACACTGGCTTTTTCTATTTGTATTGTTGCTCATAATTTATTTTCATATCCAGTCGCCTTTTACTTATTACGTTGTGATTTACCTGATGAAGAATTTTAAATTTGAAACTAAAAATACATATCATAATACTGCAGGCGACGTATTTGTTTATTTTTTTTTTGTTATTTTATATATGAAATTATTTATAAGTATTATTTTCATATGATAAAGGACTTAATTCAGACAACCAATCAATAGTATGTATAATATTCAACTCATACAACTCAAAATTATTCATCGAATTTAATTCAATATTAGAGAATATAATCAAGAATTTCTTCTAATTTATATTTATATTGGCAACATTTCAGATTTGTTTACAGATATTTTTAAGTATGGGTACTTTTGTTATAGCCACATGGTGTTAATCGATATTTAATTTTTGTATAAGCGATAATTTAATTTAATGTAATTTAATGTAACTTTCAATAATTATCACGTCATCAATAAATGTAATGTATGTAACTTTCTTAATTTTAAAAGGTGCTCAAATGAAGGTAAAAGATATCTGTACGTAAGGTTATCGTCCGACTACACGACAACATATTAATGTCAAAAAGCACGGACTTAGCATGCATAACTGAGATTCCAGGTTATAAATACAGGCCGCCGAAAACACTTTTTCAGACGAGTCTCAACATTATCATCTGCAAGCCCCTTCACGTCAGATAGAATTGTAAATTTAATTAAAAGTTTTTGAATATTTTTAAAAATAAATTATATTTATATAAAAACTACAGGGTACAATATTTATGACTTTGTCATAAGTATATTTAAATTTAAGTTTGAAAATACGCCCATAACACGAGTAGTGATAATATAGTAAAGATAATTATTTGATATCAAGTTGGAAAAAATGTTTCATGAAAAATTATCATTGATCCGTAAAATTGTATTGGGTTTCATAAATTATAGAGGCGCAGTTTTTATTGCATAGATTGGACGACTTTTCTTTGAGATGTCGATTTCTCGAAATAGCTACGACCTAAGTATAATGCAGGCATGGAGCCATACAGCTTGCCTCACGAAGATATACATTGTAATATCTCCGAAGATTATAAAGATAATCAAATTCGGTTTTTGTTTTTTTTTTATACACATTTTTTCCACTGAGTTCGACGGATTTTTCTTATGCTGTTAATATTAAATTTGTTTCGATTTTTTTTTTTCAGTCGATTTATCTTTGAGGGAAAAGACATCAATTTGGAGAAAAATATAATTTGTATTTTCATCACCAAAAAAAAAAATTAAAAAATAACTTTATGTATTCATTTATGAAAATGTTCAAAAGCTATTTTGTAAAAAATATTATTCAAACAAATTTAATATATCACATACTTAGGTCCGATTAATAGTTTCTTATTTATAGCCGGTTTAATTAGGCATGAAAACAAATTAATAATCAATATAATAACACGTTATGCGAAAAGGAATTATAATCAGTTCGGTAATTCATTAAATTCTATTAATTAATAAATGTTTTCATCCCAATTTTCTAGATATTAAAACAACTATAATTAAGAAACTATTTAATATGAATATTAAATATTAAATATGAATAAAAGATACAAAAAAATTGTTCGGGAAATATTTTTCATAAAATGGATATTTTAAAAATTTTCCAAAATGAATAAATACAATTAAATTTTTGTATTTAAGGGATGAAATAAATTTTTCTACAAATCTATGTTTTCTTCGAAGAAAACCCGATTGAAAAAATTTAAAAAAAATCCCACGCTTGAAATAGGAGTATGTAGTAAGTGATAATGTTAAAAATTTAGGAGGTTTAGACTGGAAAATTTAAGCATCAAATAGAGAACTGAAGGCAACAATGTATGTTGCGATGGACCCAGTGGCCGAAAAAACAGAAGAAATAGAAGATAATATAAAACATATAGGAATAGTGAATACAAATATTGACATTAAATGTTTATGTTTTGACTTATTATAAACTAAATTTGTAATATAACTTTTTTTTACTTGTTGACAAATTTCTAGATGGTAAAAAAACGATTATAAACGAATGATAGTAATGCTTCATAAACAATATATATGTCATTTTATAGTAAAATAATTAACAAAAGCTTTATATATTTTCTTTTATAATATTTTTTTTATATTGTACTGATTTTCCTATGTTTTTTCCGGTTTTTCACATTAGACTGGAAAAATCCCCCTGAAGTACTTTCCCAGTCAGACCAAGTGCTATCATTATAAATCGGAGCAAAATTGCTGGTTGAAAAATTGTACACAGAAAAACAAGGTCATATTTCACGTAGTTTTTCTCCGAGTTTTTTACAGATATTATGAACACCGCTTGAAAAATTAAAAAATGACCTCCCAAAAGTAAAACCCCGAGAAAATTTCCTTTCAGAAAAAGGTCTACATCATATTCATTGTACACAAGATAAAAAAAAAAAAAAACTAAATTTTCAATACCATTACGTTCAACACAATTAACTTAAAATCCCTTCTTTCTTCAAAGTTCTAAAATAAATAAATACAAATTTTGTTGTTACTAAAACTAATTCAAATATAAACATTTGTAGTCTTTCATCCTTGTGTATAGTTATAATAAAAAAAAATCTTTTTTGTCCCAGGAGATATTGAAATGGACATAACGTCGTTAGACGCCCTGTATATCAATTAGTATAAAATATGAATAGAAACGACTGTAGTGAAAATTGGGTAAATAACTATAATGTGATTGATTAATTATTATTAAGTCATTATAATAACTCATTTTAAACCGACGTGTCTATGATTTTAGTTAATTAATTTTATTATAGTACAAAATATTTTATCTGAATTTGTATATTATCTTAATACTTACGCCGAATTTTTCTTATTATTTTTTTTACAGTAATCTTCAACATACTTCCTCCATTGTATAACAGTGTCAATAACTTCAGGTTGATTTTTTGTGTATATATGATTTAAATCGAAATAACTGGAACCATTTTTACCCGGAATAATTGGTTCATCGGCAAATGAGCTATTTTCATACAAATATCCAACAGCATCCATTCGGAATCCAGATAAACCTCTGTCCAACCAAAAGCCCATTACATTCTAAAAAATAAATATCATTAACTCAAATATAAATTTACATCAACTAATTTACGAATGTGATAATTGGTGTACATACAAGCAATTCTAAATGAACTTGGGGATTTCTAACGTTGAAGTCCGGTTGTTGTGGATTAAATTGATGAAAATAAAATTGTTTTCGCTCTTCATTCCAAGTCCATGCACTAGACTCAAATCGACTAAGCTAAGGGATTAATTATTTTTTAAGTTCATGAAGAACTTACTTAACTTTTTTAATACAGCTTGTGCCATACTCTACCATATAATTTGAATGGTAAATGGCATAAATGGAATTAGTATTTTAAACAAACTATAATTGTCTATATTATATAATTGAATAAATATTACTGACCCAATTATTTGGAGGTATTGGCTTTATAGACGAATTTCTTAAGACTTCATCTTGGTTTTTAGCGTCATGCCAAATATAATATTTATCATATTTTTCATCTTTTTTGATTGATTTTTGAAACCATTCACATTTGTCGCTCGAATGATTTGGAATCATGTCTATTATTAACTTCAGATCTAATTGAAAAAATATGAATCATTTTACTACACATATTNACACTAGTTCGTCAAAGTCGTCCATTGTACCAAAAAGAGGATCTATCAATGTAAAATTTTCCACATCATAACCCATGTCAATCATAGGTGATTTAAATATCGGACCTACCCAGATCGTTTCAATACCAAGATCAACGAAATGATCAAGTTTCTGGATTATTCCTGAAAATATATTAAAATATACCTTTATATTTATTATCTATATCTGTTTTATCGTTTAAGAATATTTTTACCTTTTAAATCACCTACACCATCCCTATTACTGTCTTTAAACGATCTCGGATATGCTTGATATATTATTGTATTTGACCACCATTCACTATCAAACTTCCTCGTTGGAAAATAAACATTTCCAGTTATATTAACTGATGCATATGCTAACGTTATAAGCCAGTATAAATGGAAAGTCTGCATATCCTTTTTGAAAATAAAATTGTTCTTTAGAAATTAAGTTAAGACATTTTAATCGAGCACTTTTTTATTGATTCAACTTTAAATAAGACACTTTCTTATGCAAGAAAATTCTATACGCTTATTAAAATCACCAGTAAGCTTAAATTTAGAATGTAAATGTTTATAAGTTTATGAAAATAAAACAATATCATACCTAAACGTTCATTTTTTATTTATGTACAATTACAATGAACAATTTACTTAATTTTTATGGAGCCAAAAATGTTTTTATAAATTAAAAATAGAGCACAATGTATAATTAGTAAATAAGCAGTATTAAGAAAAATGTTCACGATCATTATTTAACAAGATTTCTATCTTTAGCACCGAAAATTTATTTGATAATTTCATTAGCATATTTAAAAATTACCAATTCTACTTTCAAAATTTAAATAATATATATTTATATATATATATATATGTATAAATATAAATTTTTCTATATGTAATGTAATATTTACCATGTTAAGTTTTTGATTCTGTAATATTTTTGTATTTTTCGATTATTCGTCGAATCGTTTGAAAATTTCGTTTTAATATTAATAACTAAAATAACTGCAGTAAATCCAATGAAACACTTAACAAAAAAAAAAATACTACTGTTATATATAGTATGCGAATACTGTCTTTGATATTAATGTAAATAACACTTAACCTTATCGGAAGTGAAAAATTTCAAATGTATCTAGGTGTGGACGCAGGACCTGAACACTACTACCTATGGATAAAAAAAATTTGGGTTTTAAAACAGTGGTTTATTGGTTTATTAGTTATGTATTAATTAAAAATTTAATACTTGCAATGGATCTGTTGAATGTTTATAAAACCAAGAGTGCCATAAAACAATTAAATTATTTTGTACTAGATAATGAAGTACAACAAATAACAAAACTGAAAAAATTTCAGATTAAGATTACTAGAAGGGTTTCTGAAAACTGTATAAAAAAAAAATTACCACTACACTTGTAATCTAAAATAAATTTAAGTTAATCATTTTCGCACTGTTTCTGCTGAAGCAGCCTTATTCCCTTGCGTGCACACCCTCAAGAGATCTATTTGCGAGATCTTCTTTACGTAATTTTTTTTTTTTTTTTTTAACTTAAAAGATTAAAAATATTATATTTTATACACAGAGTGATTTACTGAGAGTGCTCACTTTATTCAAATACATTTTAATTTTAACATTTTTGATTACCGTCAAATCTTTGACGTAATATTGAACACTTAACCTCTTTAATACAGTAAAATAATTAAGTATCTGAAAATAACGTCTTTAACTACACTTAAAAATTCCAAAAATAAGAATGTTAAAATTTGCAAAATTTAACCATACAAGTGGAATTAGTGAATCAACCTCTAAAGGATATTAAATATTAAAAAAAAAATTAGGTATTTGGATAATATATATATACAATATATTCTTTTAATTCTCCTCCCATTTAACATCAATATTATCGGTGTTATATATTAATAATTATAAGATTATGGGTTACACCTACAATGTGTTTAAATCAAGTGTAACTGTGTAAATATATTACCTACGTTAACTTTATTATTTATTATTTGATTATCCATCATATTCATATCAACCAACCTTTAATTGTTCAACCATTTTATTATATCGGACTCTTTGAGAAATTTCTAAAAAAAATGTTTATTCTAGTCCATTATCACTGAAACTTACAGTACTATTATCACTGATTTAATTAGATCTCATAAAATATCCCTATTTCACTCCCATAATATAAACGTTGATTTTTTTTAACAAAAAGTGCCATTATCTTGGAGGATTTTAAGTAAATTTAATTTCTGTTTTTCTGATCATTATGGAATTTTTTAAACTTTATTTTAAAACCATTTTTTATTTTTATCCCTACTCCATATACCTTGAATAAATGCAAACTTTTGATTTTTAAATAGAAACCCCCCCGCTTTTGAACACCGATTTGAATAGAGAATATTTGTCTAGAAATTTTCATTTGTGTAACACTAATATTAGATTTACCGTTTATGAGTTTTAACATTTTAAATTTTAGAGCGGAGGAGTAGAGAAGCATAATAAATTGCCTATCTATAGAAGGATCATAGATCACAGATTATTATTATATAATACATAAATACTTAAAACTATTTAAAACTCTAATATAATCACTTCAATACAATATTTCTTAATTCAACAATTTAATCATAATTATGATAGTTCTTATTTCTCCAGATTCCTCTCCCCTGGCATGTTCTAGAAATGTTACAGTATGTATTTATCTTTTCAAAAAAGATAAAAAATTGAAAATTATATTACTTATTCGTATCTGTAATATACTAATATGTATATTACATAATACCAACGTATAAAAGGTGTGGCAACTGACAAATTGGATTTTAATATATTAAATTCAGTTTATGCTAAATACCAGTATTTTTAAACCAATTTCAACCAATAGTAATATGATTATTGTATTATAAAATGTTTACTTGCTTGCATTTATTGAATCACTCTACACATTATGATCAACAATCTTTGAAGTGGTTTATTTATATCACGAGTTATAATGAATGGGGATACCAGAATTATTATTTATTATAGAAGTACGTCCGTTTCTTTAAACGGACAATTAAAATTAAATAGTACGCGCTTGATAATGAAAAAAAAATAATAACAAAGAAAAAGTAACAATCAATGGTCAGTATGTTACCAAACCAATAACAAATAAATATCTATAAATAATAGCTGTCCCGCAACCGGAGTGGTCCGTGCCAATTTGTAGTATTATTATTTTACCCATGTTCATTTTTGGTTTTGGCCGTGTTAGAGTTGAATGAAAACAAATAGTTGAAGAGTGGGCGAACTAAATGTGTTCTATTTTGAATTTCGAATGGTGTAAATAATAGTAATAATAATAATTAGAATAGTTTTCTTTTCAACCCTTGAATAAACGAAAATCTTATCTTATATATAAAATTTTCTGGTCACAGTATTTGTAATTCATCCCTGTTACCGGGGCAACAAAAATCAACAAAAAAAAAAAATTGTATTTATTATTTATTTGGTGTTGCTCGTGTACAAGCGAAAATACTAAAACCACGATTAAAAAATAGTGGGCGGGGTTAGAAAGGTGAAAAATACTTTACGACCTATTCTCAATAAATCTTTGGTTGATACGGCATGCGGCTGATAACGACATCATGGAGGATTTGGGTGTTGTATCCCCCCCCCAAACCTTTTTTTTTTTTAAAGACTGGGGAACTACAAATATGTAATTATTTAACAATAATGGAAATTCATTAAGTGTTCTACCACCTTATAATACGGACATTTTATTAAAAATAAAATAAATTTTTAAAATCCTTAATGTAACTAATACTAAACTGGATTCAATTGTTCAACTAACGGAAAATTGAAATTTACTCTGACTTTAATCTTGTGTTTCTCTACTTAAAAACAATGTAGGATCAGGTGATGTGTTCTATTCTTTCGATATTATCTGTGAATTATAAGATTGTATTTCTAGAGAACATAATATATATTATTTTCAATGTTCGTGAATCAAATGGTGCGGTTAATAACGACGATAAAACTGTTGATATTATTTTGTCTGAAATTGGTCTGTTCATTGCTACCACCAAAATTTTTAGACTAGGTTAGCTCAGTTCTAAACCTACACCTATAAAAGTAAATTGTAAAGAGAAATTTGATGTTAAACTAATTAAATCCACGTCTTGTCTACACGAATCACCTGATACACGTATATTCAGATTGCCTTGGATTGGACGTCTCAGAACGCGAACATTACAACTCCGTTCGAAAAGAATTAGTCACTCGTACAGATAATGATGAAAATACTCTAAGAATCGGCTTCGTTAGAGACATACCTACTATTATTTCAAAAAACGTAAACCGGCCTTAAGTGCTCAAGAAATAAATATCTCTAGTCTAAATCTTCGTGTTGTAAATAAATATTTGACTGATACTCGTAATATTGATTGTGTAAAACTTAATGGCTTATTTAAAAATGCTTTTATTTGACCTTCATTTCCATGTAATTGCCGAATCCAATTTAAATAATACGTTATTCTCGTCAGAATTAAATTTTTCGTCATTTAATATCTCCAGATGGAATTATAATAACGAAGTTTTTGGCGTATCTCAAGGTGGCGATGTCTTAATTTGTATCAAATAAATGTTTTTATCAAAACGTATTAATATACTGACCACTGATTTTAACTTTAAACAGCTTTTCTTTATCGTTCGTGTTGGCAATATTAAAATTATCATAGCTGATATTTATTTTCTTCCAAAAGCCGTATTGACGCATGTAGATTTTTCAAAAATTCTTTATTGACAATGTTAAGACTATCATATTATAATGGCGTGTTAATTGTTTGCGGTGGCTTTAATTTGAAAAAAAATTGATTTGGTGTACGTTAGATAATAAGGTTGTTTGTATAGATGATACATGCAATCGCTCTTCGATAGTATAAGACGGTTTCGCTTATTATAATTGTATACAATTTAATCACCATTATAATTTATTAGGCTCATTACTCAATTAATTTATAGTCGTTTTTCTAATACTCTTGTCTTTAACAACACCGATAAAGCTATAGAACCAATTGATACAAATTTTCATTCAGCATTATAAATTAAAATCGCCGTTCCTGCTACCTAGTGTTAAACGATTAGTATAAAATGAAACCACTTATGTTTTTAAACACACCGGTTTCGGGTATTTTTCATGTGTAATTGGTTTAAGCATTTTAATGATGTTACTATCTCCGAAACGCTATCTCGTTTATATAATGTGCTTTGGTCAAATATAAATATTTTCGTTTCGAAAATTTTAGGTAAAAATCGAATTTTGCCCAACGGTAAAGTAACAAATTAAAATTCTTATTGATTAACGAAAAAAAATTCGCCCATAAAAAATATAAGTTGTCTAATAATATTGATGATTATAATACATTTATTAATTTTAGATGCCAATTGAAAATAGAATTTGCATTATCTTTTTCTAATTAAATTATTCATACACAGCTATTTTAAAACAAATCTCTTAAGAAATATTGAGAATTTGTACGGATCAGGAAACAAGAAAATTACATTCCTAACCTGTGTCCTTGGGTAATTTAACGGCGGATGGTGGTCAAGATGTAACCAATATGTTCTACTCATATTTCAACTATGTTTATAGTCCTTAAAATCCATTCTATCCTCCTGACTCTCCTTTAAAAAATATGATCGATTTAAATTCGTTTGGCTTAAATATTGCTGATAATTTTGTTGGTTTATCCTTACTCAAACCTAAATATTCTTTTAGCCCAGATGGCATTACTCCTGTTATATAACTTAATTGGCGGTACTCTTTATCCACCCACTCCAATTATTGTTCAAATTATCTCTTGATTAATTTGAGATTTAAAAAGAAAAACGGACATACTTTGCACGGGGATGGGTAACTGTTATAGTTGTATAATTGGGAAAATAGTAGATTGGACATTTAATGTATATCTGTACACGAATTTAATCTTAACAAACAATAAGAAACATCCATAAATCTACCAAAAAACTGTATCAAAATGATACTTTTTATGGCTTATAAAAGTTACTCACCCACTTATAATATTATTCAAAATTTATCTTTGGCATCGTAGTTTCAAAGTATTAATATTATAGTGGTTGTAAATCAGTAATTATCAGCTGGTTTATATTACTGGTATAAAACGGTACACATCACGGTACAAGCAATAATATAATATTTAGACTGCTATTATCATTAAATGAACATAATATTAATACTTATATAACTAAAGAAAGATAAATATAAATCATTTTACTATAACGGATTGAATATTTCTACGACATATAATTGTATACAATATATTTAGAAATACGCATACCTTTGATAAACATATAATTTATATAATAAATATTCATGTTTTTTTTTTACAAATATATTATGTAAAATATTTATGTAACAATTATTACTAAAAATTAACATTTTCAGAATGTTTAACAACATAAATTGCAAAGCATATATTTGGTATACATTTCCGTTTTTCATATTTGTTGGAAAACTTCCTGGGAAAATCAAAAATGACCTCTTTGAAGTAAGTTAATTATTTTAGATTGAGTAGATTAAAAATAGTTTATTTTTTATTCTTTTAGATTCTGAGTGTTTTTAATTAATCTAATTTTCATCTTTTTTTAATACCGATTTAAAAAAAAAATACTACTTTAAATACAATTACATATAATGTATTGTTAACTAAAAATAGTTACAATCAAAACAATGACTAACGTATAATATGTATCATGCATAAAACCGTAGACGTATAATATAATAGACTAAGAATATCTATTTCACGTATAATACATTGGAGCTAATATATATGAGTGAGAGAGACTGTGTTGTGCTTTTATCAGCGACATAATATAAAAATTGTACAAATTCTTTGATTTTGCTTAAAATAAGAGTATTGATTAGAAAACCTATTTGTAAATAGCAAATATAAAATATTATACTTGTGTATACCTACGTGTTATATAAATATATATATAATAACGAGAAATATTTTTTATTATTGAATAACAATATACTTATGCAATTTTAGTCCCGAATTTTCAGTCCGTTGGGAACTGCAACCGGCAACACAACACTTTTCTACCATCATATGGTATCATGAAATCGTATGACATTGTCTAAAACCAGACTTTAATAATATACAAGTGCTTTTAATAAAATTAGGGGATGTAACTTTAATTGAGGCCAAACATTTGGTAAACAATAATGAACAAAGTAAAATATGTAATCAATTTCACATCCATTCGAGTGCTGCCATTTTGTGCTGTAATTGATTTTTTATCTGACAACACGACAACAGATTGTGGCCGAAGTTGTAATGGATTGATNTTTTATAACATCTTTTGAACGTAGGATACATAGAGTTGTTTTATTAATATCTATAGTACACAATGAGAAATCATTGCCAACGAAAAAATATGTGAACAGAGTTTGTTTAAATATGTTTTATAATTTAGTGGTTTTACTGTTTTGTTTTCTTCAACATAGATTTTAACTTATGACTTTATAAAGAAATATTAAATTTTTCTCTTTCTTTTTTTATTATTTATTTACTTTTTTCTTAAAATATTAAGTACAATTTATGATATATCTCGCAAATTTTCAGAAATTTCTATTCAGCAATAAAAAAATTGTAACTACAAAAAACTAAATAAAAATTAAAAAACGGCAATGCTTATAAATTGCTTAACAATTATCAGAATATATTAAAAATTGTATCGCATCTAATATAATTAAACAATTAATGCTACCGTACACCTTGCCATGTTTCTTACTCTTTAAGAAAACTTTAAAGAAAATCGGAGCAATATTTCTGGTAATACGATTTTTATAGGCTTAAAATATAGTAAAACCGATATACTTCTAAAATTACAAATTAAGCAACGTCATATAAATAATTCTGAAAGGAAGTTAAATCTTTCCTTATAGTTGGGCAACTGTCAAAATATAATTTTATTAATAATTTCAATTTAATTACCTCTTTATTATATAGATAGATTTTGAAATATTGTATGTTTGTAAATCGCCGTATTTTAGAGTATCAGTCTTCCGTAATTGGGACATTTTTTTGTACACATTATAATGACTTGTTGGTATTTTTTTCTGTGCTTCGACATTAAGGTGGTAATAATTTGGATTCACAGGTAACCATGGTAATTTAGCATCAGTAAAACCTGTATATCAATTAAACACCGTATTTTATAAATAGAATAATTATCCAGTATATTACCAGAAATTATGACTTTATTGTTTAAATGGTATTGATATATTTNATTATAATGACTTGTTGGTATTTTTTTCTGTGCTTCGACATTAAGGTGGTAATAATTTGGATTCACAGGTAACCATGGTGATTTAGCATCAGTAAAACCTGTATATCAATTAAACACCGTATTTTATAAATAGAATAATTATCCAGTATATTACCAGCAATTATGACTTTATTGTTTAAATGGTATTGATATATTTCCCATGAGTAAATTTGTGATAAGGTAATAATTGAACTAAAGATTAAATCATAATATAAACATAAGCTGAAACTGGGGGCGTGTGCGTCTAGTGTAGCAGGTGGGTAGTGTGCAAGGTGTGATACATAAAATTACTTAATTAATATCTGTAACCAAGACAAACCATTGATACCGAAATAGGATACGGATCGGAGTTCGATTAAACATATTTTGAAAGGCCTTAATATTTATAATGTTCATCGATGTATGATTTTTAAATTCTTGTAAACAAAAATAAACGCATTACACTTAATTTTATTTTTTTTGAAAAAAAAGGCATTTGTTTTTTCCTATTACTTACCCATTGTAATTTTACATAACATGTACTTACCAGCATAAGACTACGACAGATATAATATGATAATAATGACAATATTGAGTTATTTAACACACTACATAATATAATATCCATATAATGTTAGAACTTCATAAAGCTATAATTTTGAAACTCAATCAGTCCAATCAATTCTTCATCATCGTTTTTTAATCAGCAATATAAATGATTTAAAATAAAAAGAGCTGATACTGTGTATGGGAACTGCTACTGTTGTAGGTGAGAAGTTGGGAATCTAGGATACATAAGGTTATTTCATTTATAACTGTAATCAACGATAATCTATTGCTTGACGATAGACGATTCCGAGCGCAGTTTAGTAATAAATAATTTGAAAGGCCGTAATTTTTTTTTCGATTTTCATTTAAATTTAATTTCAAAACGAATATTGAAAAAAGGCGTTCGATGATTTTGGAAATTTTACTACATCAAGGTAAGTCCAATATAAATAATATTGCCAAGTTTCAAGCTTCTACGTGTATTTATAACCGAATTATAGCAAAATAACTACCAAAAATTAAAATTCTTTAAAAGCTCAAAAGTGGATCAAATGTTTTGACGATAATACTGTAAAAAAGTAAATTTAAGGTATTTTGTAATTTTTTGAACCAACAGAATTTAAATTTAATTTTTAATGAAAAAGCCTCCTGATTGGAGCAATATTTATGGTAGAAAACGTAACCCATAAAAATGTAAAATAATCAAATCGTTTTGCCGTAATTTGAAAAAAAATCGAACATTTCGTTGATAACGGTAACGCAGCGGTAAGCTGTAAATATTTTGACGTTTTACCTTTACTTTTCTTTCGGAGTTTTCCCGATATTTCGAAAACCCCTTTGAAAATCGAAAAATGATTTTTTCAGTATACTAACTCGGAAAAATCACTTTTTAGAAAAGATGCTACAGTCTATAGGTACTTTGGAGCAAGTTTCCTGCTTCTCAATTTTGCTTAAACAAATTGTTGTCCCCTCTGTAAAATTAAGTTTTAGTTACATGTCCCCTTCTTGCAATTAATGATTTATAGTCTCCTACAAAGCTCCAAATTCTGTTTTAACTTTACGTTGTAAAACTAAAAGGGTTTAAATAATAAATGATAAAGGAATAAGGGTGTCCTAAAAGGAAGAGTGATAAAATTATTCTAATCTAACAAAAATTGAAAAATACAAATTAAGAACCTCCCTCCTCCCCAGAACAGTTTTCTGTCTATAGAACTGGGTAGTATTCTACCCAGCTATTGCTAGTATAGTTAATAGCAAGATAAATAAAGTTTTTTTTGAAAACTTTCTATATTTCTATGCAATCAAAAACTTTATAAATATTATAGCCAGTGCTAAGGGAGAATATACTCCCCACCAGTCAAAGATTAATTTCTAGTCAGAAATTATAGTAAATTATATTTATTTTACGTAAAGTGGAATGCAATTAATAATTTCTAGCACAGGCTATATATACGATATGTATATGCTTGTGTATAAATAAACGTATCAATTGTGAAATTGGGCATAATTAATGCATAATATTGATGATGATATGGCAAAAGAGCCTAAGTGACGCGGCTTCACCATTGGATGGAGAAATATGTGTTTCATCCATTACGTGTGAGTAAAAATAACTGACCATTATTTAACGAATAAGTTAAATTTTAAGTTTAGGGTATAAACACGATACTTATTATTTTATTTTCTCAATTTAAGGGATTAAACAACAATAAAAGCAAAGCAACAATGTGTATTATTTTCACAAACGTACAAGCAAAACAAAATTATTCAATGAAAATATTCCCTATGAAAAAAAATTATTGCCAACCTAAGAAAAAAAAAAAAAATGTTAAAATCACAATGTGTTTTGACTCTCCTGACAAATTGTGTCGTTTAGACCCTTTTATCGTGTCGCCATCTAAATTGTATGTATATTATGTCATATTAAGTACGCTATTACTATTGAACCAAAATCTACTATTTTTTCCTTAGCAGAATACAAAATACAAACTAACCTGCATTTATTGAATCATCCCATTGCATAGGACTCCTAGAGACATCCCTAGTCAGTCCTGCTATTCCGAAAGATTTATATAATTTCAAACTATAAATATCTTTTATTTGGTCCGGTCTCATATAAGTATTATCCATGCCAATTTCACTTCCATAATATGTCACGTCAACACCAGGAAGAGCCAATTTTAAAACTGTAAATAGCTGTATGAATTCTGCACCGTAGTAAAACGACATTCTAAAAAGGTCGTGATTTTCTATCTATATTTTAGGGTTTAATATGTTTGAAATTAGATGGACATATGATACATCGAAATCCTTCTGTGTACCAAATACAATACTGAATTATACGTTTTGTGATAATTTGTAATTCTTACCACCCAATTCGGCACCATGTTTTCCGGTATATTTTCAATCCATTTTTTAATACCTTGTTCTGTTTGTTCCAATAAATTGTTTCTATCCATGCCTAAAAGTTGAAAATTGAATGGAATTTGTGCTCCAGGATTAGTGATATTGCCATAGTATTGCATCAATGTATTTATTGACGTATATGATTCAGTAGCTATCAACCTTTAAAATAAATACGTATTTAATTTGTTATAAATAATTTAATTACCTTGAAAATGGAAAATTATATTTAAATATAATAGATAGCATTAAATTGAACCCACGTTACTTGTATTTGATTGAATTTAGTGTGGTTTATTGTGTTAATACCGTTGTGTTAGGTCCGATAGATAAGAATTCATAACTTTACTCCGGTCCACGAGAGAATGACCTGAACTCACGTGTCAATATTGACGTTTACGAGTATAGCGAGGACCCTTTTTTCTCACCTCTGCTACTGGACGTCCTGCGTGGCGCGTGTGTAGCTACATGCACAGTGACGGACGAGTGTTTTCGGTCGTTCTCTAGTGGATCGGAATGTTTGGGCAGTTGACGTTGGTCAACATCAAACATTCGCATATTAGCATATTATTATAATATCGGATACATAGCGGAAAAGGTACTTATTCGGTACATATTCGTCAATGGCTTGGTGGTATACTTTACTCGTTCAAAGTACGTTGAACAGCTGTTTCGTCTGTTCTTCGTAATCGGACAACTAACAGTTATGAAAGTTTTCATGCCAAATTAAATACATTGTTTCACTCAGGATTTTGACATATTTTTATTCTTGCCGATACCATTACATGCACACATAATGCACACAATTAGATTCATAAATACAATAGGCAAGCAAAGCGTCAAAAATATGTAAAAAAACATTAGAATAGGAATAATTTTTATGATAAATGATCAAATTTGCAGACGACTATAGACAATCAATATCTTTTCAATTTTTACCAGTAACTGTTAAAATGTTAACACAATTATTATTTATTATTTAAAATTTAAAAAAAATTACAGTTTTTTAAACGTTATGAACACTATAAATAAGCATAGATACTTTTTTCAGAAACTATGAACACCCAACTTCCACGAGGTGTATATTAAATAGCGCTCATAAGATAAAGGGACTCGATTCAGACAACCAATCAATAGTATGTAAAATATTCAACTCATACAACTTAAAAGTATTCATCGTATTTAATTCAATACTAGAGAATATAATCAAGAATGTCTTCTAATTTTATATTTACACTTCAGATTTATTTAGAGATATGGTTAAGTATAGGTACTTTTATTAAAACCATATGATATTAATCGATTTTTTTTATGAAAAGTCTCAATTATTTAATTTATTTACTTTTAAAACTACATTTATGATTGTTTATCAAAAATTGTACACGCAAATGTTATTGGTATACATCTACTAAAAGCGCAGACGATTATTGAGATTGAATTATTTATGATGAAAATTGTTGCTTCTAAGTTAAACAAAAATTTATTTATTTGTCCATCACAAGACTCAGTAGAGATTTATTTCTATTACTAATTTGATATCAAGTTGGAAAAAATATTTTATAAAAAATAACATTTTTCGTAAAATATTATTGTATTTTATAAAGTAAGAACAGTTTTTATTGTATGAATTGGACGACTTTTCTTTGAGATGTTAATTTCTCGAAATAGTTACGACCTAAGTATAACGCAGGCATGGAGCCATACAGCTTACCTCAAGGAGATATATACATTATAATATCTCCGAAGATAATAAATATAATCAAATTCTGGTTTTGTTTTTTTTTTATTTACAGTTATCAACGGAATTTTCCGGCACTGTTAAATTTACATGTTTTTTTGATTTTTTTTTTTTTTTTAATCGGTTTATCTTTAAGAGGGATATCAATTTGGAGAAAAATTAAATTTGGATATTCATTTTCTAAAATAAAAAAAATAAATAAATAACTTTATTTAATAACTTCACTAATAAAAATTTTCGAAATAGCTATTTTATGAAAAATATTATATAAAGAATTTTAATTCTGAATGTGTATCACACATTCATGTCCGATGAATAGTTTCTTAGTTCCAGCCGTTTTAATTAGGTATGCAAAAACAATTAATACTCAATAAAATACTAGTTATGCGATATGGAATATCAGCACGGTAATTCATTACTTTCTATTGAATATTAAATGTTTTCATCCTTATCTTTTAGAAATTAATAAGGCTATAATTAAGAGACTATACCTCGGATGTGAATGTATAATTTAAAATAAACATTTTTTGATGTTCGGGGGATGATAATAAAAATACAATTTTTTACAAATCGATGTTTTCTACGAAGAAAAACCGATTGAAAAAAAATCAAAATTAAATTAAATATTAACAGTGCTAGAGAAATCCGTCGAACACATTCGAAGGACATCCGGTATATACATTACAATGAATTAGAAACGCTTTTCCATAAACCTAATATACTGAAAACAGTGAATAAAAAAAGATTACAATAAGCTGAACATGCTTGGCGTAACTTAAAATCCACATATACGCATATTAATAGAAGAAAACTCTATTGGGAAAAGCCCGCTGGGAAGGCTACGCCTGTAATGGGAGGATGTAGTAAGTAGAATTTAGTAAGTAGGATGTAGGATGAGCAAATGTTAAATGATTTAGACTGGAAAATACAAGTATCAAATAGAGAACTGGAGGCAAAGATGTATGTCAAGGTGGTCCTAAATGCTGAGAGTACCAAAGAAGAAGATATATTACATACAGGGATAAGGAATACAAATATTGGCATTTGCATTAAATATTTATGTTTTGACTGATAAACGAAATTTTCAAAATAACTTTTTTTTACTTGTCGACAAATTTTAAGATGGTAATTTTATAGAGTTTATTCTTCCGAACAATATGACGTTTTAACTTTTTAGTATCGTTAAATTTATGGTTTTTATAATTTTTAAATTTCAACGAAAAAAATGTACAGTCAATATTAGCCATAATTATTATAATTGTTTTGCATTAATTATTATTCCTACTACTTTTTAATATTATTCTGCAGGCTTTCAGCGCATTTGCGCATTATTATTTTTTTATTATGGGTAATTGACTGTTTACTTTTTTTCTCTGAATTTTTAACCAGTGGATCTCAATCTTCTCTCGTCAAATTTGAAAAACCGAAAAAAAAAACGGAAAACTTTACGAAGTATCATAAATATAATATTTGGATTTTTTTTTCTGTGGACAACTTTTTTCCCGAAAATGTTGCACCAACTCTCAATTACAACAATTTTTGTGAAAAAAATTTCATTGGGGAGGTCCTTTAAAGAGATCGTTTTTTCCATTTTCCCTGGAGTTTTCTCAGCAAATTTGAAAAACTAGGATAACCGGGAAAATTGGTACAACATAAAATAATTATTATTAAAGAAAATATATAGAGCCTACTTAATTATTTTACTTTAGTATGGCATATATATTGTTGAAAAAGCATCACTATCAACTAAATTCCACTCACAATTTTGTTTTCGTAAGCAATAGTTTACCGTTGCTTACATGTATACATTAAATTACCCACAATAGTGGCTGCACAAGTTCCATTATCCTAGGATGTCTTTTTATAAATATATTTAACATACTTTAATCTTATTGTGGTGAGAAAGGGAGGCGTGAAATTATAAAATAGTATGGGGCGTGTACTTAAAACACCCTTGCTTTAAACAATTATTAGATATCTTAAATTCAATGAAAATAAAAAGTTAGAATATTAAAATTTATTCAGAAGAATAAACTCTGTGAAATGGCTATCTTCAAACTTTTATAAAATAAATAAATAAAAAGTTATTTTTAATTTTTTTTACCAAAACTAAATCAAATATAAACATTTGTAGACCCACATCATTGTAAATAATAATAATAATAATAATAATAATAATAAAAAAAAATATAATTTTGTAATATTTATTAAATCCGGAGATATTGTAATAGTTATAAAGTCATAAGTTACCTTGTATATCATTAAAAATGCAATTTATAATTTACATAAAATATGAGTAGAAACGATTGTAGTGAAAATTTGGTAAATAACTAGAATGTGATTGATTAATTATTTTTAAGTCATTATAAACCGATGTGTCTATAATTTTAGACAAAGGTTTTAGTTATTTAATTTAATTTAATAACTAGTTAAATAAATAGTTATTTAAATACAAAATAATTTATTTGATTTTGTATATTATTTTAATACTTACACAGAATTTTTCTTATTATTCTTTTTACGAAAATCCTCGGCATATTTCCTCCATTGTATAAGAGTGTCAATAACTTCAGGTTGATTTTTTGTGTATATATGATTTAAATCGTTATAACTGGAACCTTCTTTACCCGGAATAATTGGTTCATCGGTAAATGAATTATTTTCATATAAATATCCAACAGCATCAAATCGAAATCCAGATACACCTCTGTCCAACCAAAATCCCATTATATTCTAAAAAAATAATATCATTAACTCAAATATAAATTTTCATTGACAAATATACGAATATGATTTAATGGTGTACATACAAAAAATTCTAAATGCACTTGGGGATTTCTAACGTTGAAGTCCGGTTGTTGTGGATTAAATTGATGAAAATAAAATTGTTTTCGCTCTTCATTCCAAGTCCATGCACTAGACTCAAATCGACTAAGCTAAGGGATTAATTATTTTTTAAGTTCATGAAGAACTAACTTAACTTTTTTAATACAGCTTGTGCCATACTCTACCATATAATTTGAATGGTAAATGGCATAAATGGAATTAGTATTTTAAACAAACTATAATTGTCTATATTATATAATTGAATAAATATTACTGACCCAATTATTTGGAGGTATTGGCTTTATAGACGAATTTCTTAAGACTTCATCTTGGTTTTTAGCGTCATGCCAAATATAATATTTATCATATTTTTCATCTCTTTTGATTGATTTTTGAAACCATTCACATNTACACATATTGCATATTACTCAAATTTACTCCTTTTGTCCATTTCTGACACTAGTTCGTCAAAGTCGTCCATTGTACCAAAAAGAGGATCTATCAATGTAAAATTTTCCACATCATAACCCATGTCAATCATAGGTGATTTAAATATCGGACCTACCCAGATCGTTTCAATACCAAGATCAACGAAATGATCAAGTTTCTGGATTATTCCTGAAAATATATTAAAATATACCTTTATATTTATTATCTATATCTGTTTTATCGTTTAAGAATATTTTTACCTTTTAAATCACCTACACCATCCCTATTACTGTCTTTAAACGATCTCGGATATGCTTGATATATTATTGTATTTGACCACCATTCACTATCAAACTTCCTCGTTGGAAAATAAACATTTCCAGTTATATTAACTGATGCATATGCTAACGTTATAAGCCAGTATAAATGGAAAGTCTGCATATCCTTTTTGAAAAAAAAAATGTTCTTTAGAAATTAAGTTAAGACATTTTAATCGAGCACTATTTTATTGATTCAACTTTAAATAAGACACTTAAGGAAGAAAATTCTATACGCCTATTAAAATCACCAGCAAGCTTAAATTTACAATGTAAATGTTTATAAATTCATTAAAACAGAATACTATGATACATGTCTTTTCTTCGATACAATTATAGATAATGTTCTTAATTTTTAAGTATAATTGTTGAACCTATAGGTATTTAAAATAATAAAAAAAAGAAAACATTTTCGTTTACTAAAAAAATAATAGTAAAAAAAACCTTCTTGATTATTTTTTATCACAATTTCCATCTTTATCACCATACACCGAATGTGATAAGTTCATTGGCATATTCAAAAATTACTAATTCTTCATTCAAAAATTAAACAATTTACAGACTGTCCCACGAAGTTATACCCCCTGAATATCTTCGGAGATAATAAAGATAATCAAATTTTTTTTTTTTTACTTACTCACAGAAATGAAGACTACAGATATTTAATTTTGAATTGATTTTTGTTTAGTAGTTATAAAATTAAAAAATGAAATTCGATGTTACTAAAATTACCATTAAAGACTATGTAAATCAATGTTAAACGATTTTATTCCCTAAAAACCATCGGTTTTCACATGGTTTTTATATAATTGTAAACAGCTGTTACTTAGAAACTATTATTTTGATATAAATGTGTGGTTTATTTTAATTTTTAGAAAAACAAACTCTAAAGCATGGCTCTCTTGAAATGTTCTGAAAATAATGAAATAAAGTGGTTTTTATGATGTTTTTACCAAAAAGAAAATTTAATTCAAATTTAAACATTTGTAGTCATTAACCCTGAGAGTAATATACAAAACACATAACTTGATTATCTTTATTACCTTCAGAGATATTCTAGGGGTAGGTATATCTTAGTTGGAAAGTCTGTATATATAAATATTATATGTTTCTACATGTAATGTGATATTTACCATGTCAAATTTTTGATTGCGTGAACAATAATTGTAATTTTAAATTATTCGTCGAATCGTTTGAACATTGCGTTTTAATATAATACCAAAATAACTGTAAAACAAATGAAACACTGAACAAAAAAAAAAATAAAATATTACTGTTATAATGTGGTATACCAATACACGTCAATTATTTTAATGTTAAAATACTTGTCCTTATCGGAACTGAAAAATAACTACTTATTTTATCTGTGTAATACTTGTTAATAGTATAGGACAGTGGTGACTAATTGTGATCTGTGGACCAAACAAACTCTGTGATCATTTATTAATTGCCCCCCTCCCCCACTAGAGTACTAAACCAAAATTAAAAAGAGTAAATAACTTCAAATTTCAAAAATTAACATTCGCATTAAAAGAAAACGTGTTTAAACATGTGTATGTACATTTTGTTCTCATTTATAACAATCAATACATAATAAATAATTAAATATACCAATGTACCCATATGTACCTACAATAAAATATAATATTTTCTATCAACTTAAAAAATTAATTTCTTGGCGAGCCAAGAATTATTATTATTTTTTTTATGGTATTATGTAAAAAAGGTTGGTCACCACTGGTATTGATATGGTTAATACGGATAAATAACAATAATTTATTGGTACCTATTTATTTATTATGAAAATTAAATCCTTGCAATAAAATATATAAAGCCAAGAGTGCCATGAAATAATAATTATTTTTTGTACTAGATAATGAACTTACTATTCGCCCATCACCAATAATTATTATGGTTTTATACTTATAGTAAATAAAGATAATATAAAACAATACAATAAAAATTATAAGAAATCTGTTTAAAAATATGTACTGTATATACAAAGAAATAGGAAAAATTGTAAATGTTGATATATTAATGCTTTATTTACAAATGGTTAATTTGTTTACCCATTTACTACATCTACAATTTTTAAATAATAATTATAGAAATTTGGATTGTTACATTATTGTTATGAAAAAGACACACATACTTCGTACATCATTTATATGTAACTGCATATTTTTCCTGTGACGTGATAAATTTATTTTGGCGGGTGATGAATTTGTTTCTATGACGTACAAATACAAATATTGTTCTTCACGTTTTAAATTTTATAGTAGGTTAATCCACCATAATATTAAAATCAACAGCCAAAAATTGGTTCTGCTGGAAGAAGCATGTTTGCTATACCGAGTGTTTGTTAAACAGAGACAATGAAAGCGTGTGTAATGTCTTCCTAAGTCCGGGTATTCAAGTGCTCATGTCTAAAAAGATTATGTAATAGGATAATAACCGCAATATCTATCCCGGGATAATATGTGACGGCTAACGACACGGAATAATTATTACGGAGTATTATTATTATTATGGCGATTCGAATGCATTTTATCGTAATATGTACGCGCGGAACTCGTATATTAACTTTCGTTTATGAATGGCGAGTGTATCTACACTACGAGTATAACATAATATTATAAATCCGGTTCAGTAGCCGCATCAATGGAAGCGAAATGATTCACCACGTTAATTGCATCCGTATTATATATTATAGCATACAGGGTGATTTTGTTTTTCTTAATCGTAATGCAGCGATCGATCCACGGATATTTTGAGAAAATTTATCTCGTGGTTTTTTCACCATTTAAAATAGAACCGTTTAATGTATAATGTTTAATCTTGTATTATTTACAATATTTTCAAAATATTATCGTTATTTCGTGCACTGTAAATTTCAAATCATGAATTAATAAATAATGGACGTTAAATATGGAAAGTGATTATAATGTACTGACAGGAAAAAAAAATAATTCTGCAGGTTTTCAATTAATGAAATAATGAAGGATAAATATTCAACTTCAACGCGTAACATAGTAAACTCATACTTTACAACTACCGGGAATAGATTAGTAGAAAATAATTTTCCTTATAGCCTAAATAATACTCAACTTAATTCAGACATTAATACTAATAATTTATCAAACACTAGCTCCAACTTCAAATCAAATACCATTATAGTAGTTACAAAGTAATACAAATATTAAATAATCTGAATAATTACTTGGCACCTGGAACTGGTGGTTATGCAGCACTATTTTTTAAACAAACAGGTGACAATGTGATATTACATATATTTCACATAATAAACTGTAGTATAACAAATGTTATTGTACCGGATGTACCGAAAGTAGCTAGAATTTTACCAATTCGTAATAAAGGAGATTATTTAGATTTCACTAATTATAGATCTATCACTAGTAGGAATTTCAGCTAAAACCCGTGAAAAAAATAATAAAAAACTAACTATAAAAATACTTAGAAAAAGATGAAATAATATTTGATGGACAATATGGGTTTAGAAAAAAATTTAGGAATTGATGTAAATAACTTTTTAAATCAAAAAAAGGGGGTGGTAAATAAAAATAATTTTCTTTTTGGACTTGATTTAATAGTTATCTCAGTAACATGCAACAATTAACTATTATTGGATCTCATTACAGTAATTACTGCTACGTCAAAGATTTCGGAGACACTCAAGGTATTTCATTAGGGTGTATTTTTTTTTAAATATATATTAACTCTATAACTGCGTCATTATTAAAAAGAAAGTTATATATGTTCGCTGATGATGTAGCACTAGTTAATTTTAAAGATAACTGGGACACATTTAAACAAACCGTCTAAATTGATTTACGGTATATCTATGACTGGGTGGGGAAAAATCAATTATCTCTTAATTTTAATAAATAGGTATGTATGTCAATAATTATAATTTATTCACAACTTCCTGTGAATTCAAATTATTAAACATAAACGTGGAACTGATACGATAAATTGCAGCTGTAAACCATTTTAATTGGTATTATCATTCAAATATTTAGGAATGACTATAGATTTTAACCTAAAATGGTCAGAACATATACAGAATATCAAAAACAAAATGAGGAGCTTAACTGTTTTGGTTCTACAAAATTCGATTTCTTGATTAATCAATTATAAAACAAATTTACATTGCACTGTGTTATAAAATCCTATTATACATCACGACATGCTGGGAAGACACTTATAAAACAGATAATAATTTGTTGCACACTACTCAAACAATTATGGTAAAAGTAGTGTACTCCCTTCTGTTAGAATTCCAATCAAGGGAAATATTCAACCATTTAAACATCTTATTTGTTTATATACTACACATTTGGCAAATTTTAATAAAATTCATTCTAAACCACACATTTAAGGCTATAGATTTAATAAACAGAAGAACAGAAAAATACATTAAACTGTCATTTACATTATTAACTAATTCAAGAACCTCACCCAATCACACGAGTAAAACTACATTCAACAATTTAAATAACGATGTAATATGTATTACATTTATGTAATAAAAATTGTATGTGTAAATCAATTTAATAATAGATACCAATGGTATAATTAATACAAATCTATTAAAAAAGGGAATTAATAAAATAGTTAATAAACTTGATGAGAATGCGTGTATTATTGAAATGATAAATAGTCAATATGTTCAAAAATAATATCTTTCCTTATAATTAATTAACATTATTAAATAGGCATTATATATTTGTTACTATGACTATGTTACTATTATGTGTGTTTAATATTGTACCGATTTTCTCGTTTTTCCTACGTTTTTCCCGGTTTTCCCATTTATTATGATAACAGCTAAGAAAAATTGATAAATTACCTCTTTAATTTATTATTTCAGTTAGATTTCCTTTCAGAAAAAGTGCTATAATTGAAAATCGGAGAAAAGTTGCTGGTAAAAATGTTGTCCCCAGGAAAAAAAAGTTAACATTATTGTAAAACCAATAGATCCCTCGCTACGTTCCGAATCTTAAAATACGGACATACTTCACACAATAATGGGTGTGCCACTGTTGTAGCTGATAAGTTGAGAAGTTAGGATACAGAGGAGAATTTAATTTATATCTGTACGCAACGATAAACTATTGCTAACGAAAAACATTTCGGAGCGAAGTTTATTTATGCATTTACGTAATTTTTCCCATTTTTCCTACGTTTTTTTCAATTATTATGAAGATCGTTTGGAAAATCAAAAAAAAAAAAAATGATTTCCTTAAAGTACACAAGTGCTTAAAAAAAGGTGTTTCACTTGAAAACAGAAACGTTTTGCGTTCGTAAGCCGGAGATAGCACATGCGGGTGTGTCGTCCAGTTAAAATCCTTCGAACAATCACCGAAACACTCTGTATACCCGAACAGGATTTTGTCGCGTACCAACATATACATTATATTGTATAAATACTTACAAGTTTCAATGATATTATTATCATCGTCACGTCGTACTAGTAGAACTTAGTATATTATTAGGAACGTATATATATATAATATTGTATACGTAATGATGCAACAACCGGTTCAACTTACGTACGTACGTTGAATCAAAACACTGCAACATAATAATGTTACCTATACATCGATACACCGACCGATTATATCGTTACGAACGTTCGTATTATTAAATTACAGCTACACAGTATTATTCATCCTTCACTTTCACCGCGGTGTTATTTTATAGGTATGTACCTAACCTAATATCTATAGTCTATAGTCAACTACATCCGGTCCATTGAGTGGACCGTTGGTCAATCGATTTTCAACACACACTCTTGTGATATTCGATTGAGAAATAAAAAATAAAAATTATTTTGACCGACATGGATAATAATGGTAATTATTATTAAACGGAAATAATATTATTAAAAGAAAATCATTTATTTTTCCTGGCCGTCTTCGTCTATGAATTTTTGCTTCCGTATTTTCTATACATAATAGTATATAGGTAACGAATAACCATAAAAATATGTTTACGATGTACCTATGTACTTGTATACGTACGTGCGAGGATAATGATACGTCGCGATAAAAATTAGCCTCGTACAAAAAAAAAAAAAACTCCCCCTATTATTTTTGTGAAAACATACGAATTA